AGTTCTCAACATGCACAGAACTCTCTAGAAAATTATCTATAATTTCGATGGTTACCCTTCCAAAATGATACAAAGTAGATACCACACCAGACTGTCCAAAATCAAAGTGGATTTGACAACTAATTTTCTTCATTGTGGACACCAAGTTAGTAGGTCTTTCCATTTCATTCTTCAGCTACATCATATTACATTTAGTTAGATTCTAAAAAACCTATGTGTGTTTCCTAATAACCCATACCCGGGCACCTATACATTTCAGGAAAACGAATTGACACATGGTATAGAAGGTTATTGGCTTGTTTAGATAATAACGAAAAATAGAAATAATTAGTAACATATCAACAATAAGGACGGAAATGCCAAGCAATTAGCCCCAAAATCACCTCAAATCATTCTCAAGAAAGACAAAAAAAAATAGAACTTGAACCAAAAAAACAACTATCAACACAAATGCTAAGCAGTCAATCAAACAAAAAGTGAATTATCCACTGAAGAGCTCACCTGAAACCCAAAAAAGTCAACCACCCAAACCTCCAAAATATCAACCAACTTTAAGAACTTAAAACATGTAGCACTACAAATTAAGCAAGAATCCAAGAAAATTAACAAAACCCAATTACAAACCAGCACAGCACAATCCATTCAAAACCCAGTTCACATCACCACCAAGCCTCAAACTTTAACACAAAAAAAATAAAATTTTGACAACCCGTTAAAAAAAAAGCCGATTCAAGCAAACCCACCTGGCGATTCAAGGTAGTAGGGTCATGTCTAGCCCACAAAACATCAAGCAAAGTGTCAAAGCTACACTCTTTAGGGTCATACTGAACCCTAACAACTTCATTATGATTAGTAGTACCGGTACAAACATCCTCATAAGTCGGATTATGCAATGAGCCCTGAGTATAACCCACTTCAGTTTTAGTAACACCAGGGACTCTTTGAAATGCTAATTCAACGCCCCAAAAACAACCAGCTCCAAACTGAGCAAATTGCTGACCAGGAGCTGGTAAGTCATCATCGGGACCTTGTGGGATTGTTGGGTCCATTGTTGATGGGTCAGGTGACCTGGGACCAAAGCCTAGTTTGTTAAGGATGTTCATTGATGGCTTGTAATAAGAGATGGGTTTTGAGGTTCGAGGGAAATTGAAGGGTTTAGAGAGAAGAAGTAGCGATTTTGATGAGAGAGAACGGAAAGGTTTTGAGAGGAGGAGGAGAGGGGTGGTGGTGGTGCTGCTGCTGCTGCTGGTGGAGGAGGTAGAGGAGAAGTGGGTAGCAAGATTTCGGAGCATTTTTTAGATTTGGGAGCGTGATGTGCACTGGTGGAGGTGGAGGAGAAGTGATGTTGCAATTGGTTAACAAATAGAGAATTTTTTTATTTTTTTTTGTAGTTCTTTCTCTCAAATTTAATTTCGATGATATTTTTTTTTATAATTTTTAGAAGAATTTAATGTCTTTATTTAACAGCTCACAAATCTAACTAACAATTTCACACTCAAAATTGCCTTGCTTTATTATTTTACACGTAATTAAACCTTCTTACACACAGTTATCGAGGAAGATCTTAAGATTTGAATTAAGCCGTAATTATTGAATCATTAGTCATGAAAGCTGATTTATTACGTTTTAAAAGTATTTTTTATTTAAAAATATATTAAAATATTTTTTTTAATTTTTAATATAAACACATTCAAATTATTAAAAATATATCAATTTAATATTTTTTAAAATAAAAACAATTTTAAAAAGTACATACAAATAGAAACCACCACACTTCAAAAATATAGAATGTTTATATTTCATTTTTACTTTTTAAATTGTTTTTATTTATAAAAATATTAAATTAATAATTTTTTAGTACTTTTCAATTATTTTAATATATTTATATAAAAACAGGCTTGGAATTTTTTATAAAAAAATGGATTTTTTTTTTTTACAAAAGTCATGTTATTTCAATTTTTTTAAAATGAAATGAATTAGCTTTTTTAAAAAAAACCTAAAATAATATTATTTATTTTTAGGTTTAAAAAAATTAGATTCCACGACTAGGAATGGAGTTAAATGCAGACATACAATATACCACAAGTTTGCTTTAAAATTAGAGTATCTGGATGCTTTTTATTGTTTTTTTAAAAATGTGATTGGGATTGTTTTTTAAATAGTTTTTTGTGTTAAAATATATATTAATAATATTTTTTTATTTTTTAAAAATTATTTTTGATATCATCATATTAAAATAATTTAAAAATATTAAAAATATATTAATTTGAAGTTAATAAAAAATAAAAAAATTTAATTTTTTTTTAAAATATTTTTAAAATATAAAAACAAACAGCTATTAATATTCTTCAACTAATAACCGACACGACTCTCACCTACCATCAATATTCTTTATTTATACTTGCTAGAAAGATGGCAGCCGATTCTCCGAGTTACCTGTTTCGGTTGAACACTGTTACTGGAGAAGATGGTGGACTGGAAGAATCTGGAAGAGGACATGGAAGATTTCGTGAGTCAGATTTCCAGCCATCTCATCTAGTCATCTTGTGGTTTAGATTTTGGAATGTGGATGAAAGCCTTTCACACCATCTATTTCTTGCATGCTAACGTCGTTTTCATTCGTTCCCCCCCAGATGCCCCTGGGATCGGAGGCCAATGTAGATTTAAATGCTTTTTTTTTTTAAGTTTTAAAAGTGTTTTCGAAGAAAAAATAATTATTTTTTTAATTATTTTGTTGTTCAGATTTTAAAAAATAATAAAATATTATTTCAATAAATTTTTAAATAAAAAATACTTTAAAAAACATCTACTATCACACTACTAAATAAACTCTAATTTTATTTTATTTGTACATTCTAAAATTATATTTGTGTTCAAAAAAATATTAAATTAGTAATTTTTTAATGTTTTTAAATGATTTTAATTTGTTGATGTTGAAAAATTTGTAAATACAATAAGAAATGTGAATGACCAACTTATCTTATATGTAAAAAACTGATCTAAAAATATTATTAGAGCTAAAACAATAAGGATAAAATGTCTACCTCAAAATCCATTGATGACCGATCACCTAAGAAATTTTTTTCATAGAAGAAAACAGGACAAGGATGGCAAAGATTCTGGTCGGTTTGATGATATCGTACTGCTTATATTCTTGAGACTCAGAGGAAATAATTTCCACCCAAGCCGGCAAAGCATCATATGCAAGGAGGATAATATCCGATTCATATGCTTTCCTTTTTCATGTAAAGTAAGTTGACATGACATGCTGAGGTAGTCGTAGAGATTGCTGATTCGGTGAAGAAATTGCATTTTGATAAACCACACAAAAAATCCAAAAACGACAACATAATCAGTCTTCGATCAAGTGTAAACTCATTCAGTTAAACTTATAATTTCTGGCAAGAATTGTGTTCCACCAATGAGATCATTTAATAATTAAAGGGAGCACTTGATTGATGATATGATCACAGAGCCTACAAACTCAGACAGGAGTGAACCGGTGAAGGAAGGAAAGGGTGAGAGTTTGGCTATGTTGTGTGCTCAGTATTTATTTTGACATGGTCATAACTTAAATGGCAGCCCCACGTCCGTCATCTATGAAAAGTACAGAGATAGCAGATCAAATAAGTTAAAACCAGAGGATGCAGCAAGTTAAAGCATTGCTTCTTGATTGGCATCGATCCAGGGTACATGGAGATATGAGCATTTATTTTGCAGTTAAGTGTAGTGAGAAAGGCATGATGTGTGTTGAGCGACTGCATTGATTTCAAAACTCAACAGGGATGGAAACTTAATAGACACATCATGCCCGAAACATTAGACTTACTGTTGTACGAGAAGAGTTTGCCCTTGAGTATATAATGTGCATTAATAAAAGAAAGGAAATTGAACGCGCAAAACGCAAATGAGCTACAAATGTTTCAGAATGTTTCTGTCACCAACAGATATGTGAAAGAAAGAAATGATGATCGCACTCCATGAATGAAAGGAGAGACATTCAGGTATATCAATACCAGAACAGAAGGAAACTTTTATTGTGAAGAAACATAATGCAAAACCAGAAAGACTGCTAAACTTATGTGGTCTTATGGCTACATTGAAATCAATAACTGAGCTAAATTTATAATGCTATTGTCAGCCAATGATGTCTACAACTAAATGCATGGGAGTGGCAGGAAACCGTTCCAACATATCTATAATTAACCCAAAAGCAAATTCTGGAGTAAAAAATAAGACCTGCTATCATTGTGTCTCAGTATCGAATTTTTCAGGCATTAGGGACCACATTAGATATAGCTCCACTTAAATAATAGCCAACTTATTGAAACTAGCGTGATCCTTTAGAAACAGGCAGGGAGAAAGCAATGATGTAACATACAGTTAAATGGCTGAAACTCCGATTCACTGAAATCTGCACCATCTGTCTCCAGATATCACTGCAGTTGCAATCACAACCACTGACCTGGTAAGCAAGAGTGTGGCCATTGAGTCTCAAGTGTGTGACAAGTTTTTCTAAAGAAACCAGTGTGCTTCATGCTAGTTTGATATCAGATATCACTTTGTTTGTCCATGCACAACACTGCTATAATTGATGCTAGTTAGATTTCAACTAACACTTTATTTGTCCATGCACAACGCTGCAATAACTTTCTCATTCATTCCCTTGTTAAATTTGAGTCTTTGCTTCAATACCAGATCATCAATGTAAAGAGTATTCTGTTCTAAAAAGAATGTAGAAAAATTAAGAGAATCAAAATTCATTGCTTCAATGTAAATGCATCTTATACCAACTTAAAAATAAAAATAAAAATGAAGATTTGACAATTAGATTATTCAATTTAGATCAGTAAGTATTAATTGCATGTATTTTAGTGGTGTTCAGAAGTTCCACTGCCTTTTCGTATTAAACTTATCTCCCATTTGGATGACAGCATTTTCTTAACTTTGTCGAAGTTCGGCCTCTTGAGAGTGATGCTTCCGAATAATTCATGCTTTAATAATATGAATTCATAGCAAAAGGACAGTCTATTAAAGTTTGTTAAATGCCTCAGGTTGGAGGGGCAAATATAAGAGTCGAGGGAATGGCCAAAGGTTCTGGGATGATCCACCCAAATATGGCCACCGTGCTCCGTGTATGTCTGCCCTGCTGCTTCTCTCATTTGTCTCAAAAAGCAAATAAATGGTTGAAACTCCGATTCACTGAAATCTGCACCGTCTTTCTCCAAATATCACTACAATACCATCAGCAATTTCTTTGATTCAGTGAAGAAATCTGCACCATCTTTCTCCAAAGTCGTGTCTACTGGGCATGAAGGTCATTATTTCAAAAAATGGAAACAAGCAACAGTTGACTGTGGCTGAATGTTTTTTCTTTTTCTTTTTTTTAAGGCAAAAAATAGTACTTGCCATCATTTCACAGCAGTTTCATGTGACATAATTCACTTACATGACCTGAGTCACTACAAGATCATACTTCATTTGAATTACAGGTAACCGAATACAAGCAACGCAAAAATAATGCTCTGGAATACCGTTTTTGAAGTATCTAACGCATTGTTATAGTATAATACCGGTGCAGCAGCAACCATGTCGGTAGTGAACGGCCCTGGAGATAAAGAGTGTGAAATTTAAATTATCAGACAAAATAATCTAATCTCTTTAATGATGCCAATAATTTGTCAATCAAAAGCAAGCAACTCAAGCGGTTTAACCTATCTACCTGAGAGGTAAATAATCACCATAACCTCAAATCTAAAAGTCCATGACTTGCAAAACTACTCGTCATATTATATCCACTAAAAACTGAGACCTCACCTGCAACTGTAGCATCAACATCACAACTAACAAGTGCATGTTCAGGTTTCTCCCCTTCGGCACGCAATCCACCATATATCCCTGCCGCTTTGAACCCCTTCGCAGCAGTAACTTCCCCAGGAACCACAAAAGTTGCAAACTTGGTAGCCATTTTATAGAAACCAAATAAAAGACACCCATATACCAGTATTCAATAAACTCAAAGCTCTTCCAAAATAATTACCAAAAAAAGAAAAAAATTAGACAAAATCCCACATTGATTGTAGCACTATTCATCGAGATAATTAACTCTTAATGGAACAAAAACCCATCATGATTTTTACGCACTAAAGTAACATTTGTGGTCATCTCAAGAACAAAAATAGAAAAAAAACCATCAATGCTAACATCATTAAAAGAATAGAAAATACAGAATAACAGTCAAGCAATAAAATCTTGAACCTTGAAACAAATAGCGGGCTAAGCTTAATTGTTGCCATGGTCCTTCAGGGAGAAAAATAGGAGCAGCAGGTATATAATTAGAGGCCTCACTCATACTTGATAACGATGAGACAGTCACTGAAAATAATTTAAAGCTTCTCTTACTCAAACCAAACGACCTCAAAACCTGCAAATCATTAAGCTTTGAGGAGCTATGAAGTTCTGGGAATTTTAGAGAGCACAAATATAGATCTTTTTGGAATTGGCGCGGAATGTAGAAGCTGAAACCGCCGGTGCCGCCGCTTATCTTGGTGGTCTTTTAGCTGTTTGATCGTTCGGTAACTGTCAAAGTAATTTTTATTTAAAAATATATTAAAATAATTTATTTATTTATTTTTTAAAATCAATACATTAAATAATATAAAAACAAAAAAAATTAACTTAAAAAAAATCAATTTTTTCAAAAAACACCGTCGCAGCTGCAGCAGGGTGGGTGGCGGCTTCTATTTTTTTTTTTCCTTTGAGAACTTTGAAGGGGTTTTGCTTTTTATTATTTTAAATTTAATTCTTTAATGGTGATTATTAATAACGTGGATTTAACGCTTAAATTATCTTCAGGTAAACTATATTTTTATCCTCATAGATTCATCATTTCTCATTTGTACCCCTTTTAGTTTAACTTTTCTTAAAACTACCCCTATTGTTTCAAAAGATTCAATTTGCTCTTTATTACTCATAAAGTATTCATGTCATAATTATAATATAATCATTTTGCAATTTCTTCACCTTTAATTCATTAAAAATAATTCATTCGTATTGTCGTTTATTTTCCATCGATCTACATATAATAAATCTTTTGTAAAGAGAAAGTTATGGGTGATTTTATGGGGTTTTATTTGATTTTTCTAGAGCTTCTGTGAAATGTTTTTGATTTTGGTGTAGCCATCCATATTACATGTAACTAAATTTTAAATCTTTTTTCTGATTTATATATAAAATTATTGTATTGTGATTATAGTTATAAAATAAACTAAAAAGACTGGGAAAAATGAACAATACAATTCACTGTTTATTGATTACTCATTTGGGATTCTTTATTCATTTGTACAGTTTTTTAATTTTATTTTGATTATCAAATTTTATTTCTTTGCAATCTTATTCTTCCAAGTTATATTAGTATAGTTTTACATGTTAATATATAGTGTCAAGGAATGTTTTAATAATAAATTAAAGATTGATTTTATGAAATAGAATTTTAAGTTGAGGTTAAAAAATTATAAGAATAAAAACTGGATTTAATAAAAAAAACAAAATATACCCATTTTCATTCTGGTGCAAAGAACATCAATTTGGTCCTTGAAGTTTTATTTTATATATTATTTTCTCCCTTTTATTTTAGCATTATATTTCAATTATAAATTTATTTTTTTATATTTTTAAGTCCTTAAATGTTAAGAGAAAAAAAAAAGGATTGCCAAGAAATATTAATAAGAAAAAAATGTTTGAATAACCATATTATATTATACCTATCAAAAATATTGATTTTACTGTTAATGAATTCGTCTTGCAAGAGAAATTCAATGGAGGTGGTATTGCTCTTTAACCATACTAGAAAAAAAAGAATAGATTTCATAAAGTTTTTTATTGGTTTATTATTTTTATTTTTAGAGTGATTAAAGAGTATTTTAAATTTAAAAATGAGTTTAATAAGATTTTCATGATGTTTTTTTTTAATATTTTCATGTAAAAAAAAATTAAATATAGGTTTTTAGAATTTTAAAACTCGAACCCTATTTTTTTTTTAATTACATGAAGTGACTAAAGAGTTATCTAGTGAATAATAAGTTATTTATAATAATTAACAATATCTTATCTGTTTAAAATAAATATCAATCGATGCATGTTATTTTTGGTCAGATATTTGAACCTGATTTATCAATTCAACAACTCACATTTTTTTTAATTAAATTTTAATTAATATTCCTATTTTATTTTTAAAATTGTTTATTTTAATTTTTAAACTACAATTAATATTTTTATTTTTTTTAGTTTTATAGTACTTTAAAGAAACTATTATAATTTGTCCTTATTTTTGTTATCTTATATATTTATGAACATAATTTTATTTGCATGATATATTTATAAAAATAAAAATAAATTGTTCTTAGCCACCATAAGTGACTTTGAAGATAAAATAAATGAATAAGTATATAATAAAAAGGATAACTGGGATAAAATATTTACATGTACACCTACCTCTTGTTTTTAGATGGAAGAATAACTTTCTAATTTTAATATTAATTATCATTAGCAATTTTTTTTTAACTTATCAATTCATATATTTTAACTCATTTTATTAAATATAAATATCATTTTCTTATTTCTCAAGATACCAAAAAAATACATTTACAACATCAACATATTTTTATCTTGAATTAAAATTTAACATGAACTTTGCATAGTGCAGGTTATAAGAGTATTATTGACTAAGCAATGTATCTATTTATATAAAGTTTTTATCATTAAAAATATGATTAACTTTTAATTTTTTTCAAATAAAACTATAGGATTTGTGGAATTTTGCATCAAATTAATTTATATAATAATTATTAATATTTTCTTTTATGGTAAAAGTGATTCATTAAAGTTTTCATAAAAAAAAGAATTATAAACATTTTTAACTACTTTCTTGATTCTTAATATATTTATATGAGCTCAAATGTATAACTGTTTCGTTGTCTTAATCAATTTAATTTCCACCCAATTCATGTTTAAAATACTTTTCATTACAACTTATGAACTGTAATAATCTGTGTATTCAAAGCATGTTAGATTTATTTCAAATACATTTACTTTTTGTTTCGGAAACAAATACATTTTTATCTTTAAATGTTGATTAATAAAATGAATGGTTTGTATTATTATTATTATTATTATTATTATAATATATATATATATAAAAGTAGTATGTAACAATGCATGATATATTATAAATGATTTATTAAGTATTTTAAAAGGATTGTTAAACATTGAAATCATAGTTTTCAGATTTAGTTTAGTGGCCAGTCAAGTTCAAAGTCGAATTTCGAGTTTTTATAGGGTCAATTTAAAAAAAAAAATTATATCGTTTTAGTAAAAAAATAAAAATTAACAAGTCGCAAGTAAGTTTTTAACCGGATTTTTTCTTTCGCTATTTTTCTACAACCTGATCCAACTCTAGTTTTGAGTCGGTTGGGTCGACTCGCCAGACCGGCCTAGCTTTCAAAACTACGATGAAAACATAATATATATATATATACTATTTTCTGAAATTTTTGTTATATTAAGTTTAACATATTGGGTATGTTTTTTAAATATAATAATATAGAATCGATTAAAGAAATAATAACATGACATTTAGAAAAAAAATGAGGTACATAACTTCTTCTTTTTTAACGATTGTTAAGTAGTCTACCATCAAGGGACTATATTATTGTTTCCAAACTAGAGGGACTGATTAAGTATTTTATTAAAAATATAGTGACTAACATAAATAAGTTTTCCTTTTTATAATGCCTAGAGCATACAAGTTTCAATAAACCAGACGGTAAATAAAATCCTGGAGCAGCTTGCTGGCATAAGAAAAATAAAATAGAGAAAAAAAAAGCAAAAATAGAGATAAAAAACTTCAAGTACTGGCCATGGAAGCAGCAGCTTCATCATGTTCAATTCTTCATCCCCTTCGTTCATCAAGCAACTATCATAGCAAACACTACACTGAAACCCCACCTAGAAACAACAGCAGCAGCAGCTGCTGCAATAATCTCTATCTGGGTCTTCCATTTTCTTCCACTTTCCTAAGAAACTACACTTTCCCTGGAAAATTTGTGCAACAAAATCTGTTCACTACATTTTGCTTAACATCTAGCTCTAGTAAACAAAACCCATCTACAGAATTTGCTGTTCTTCTTGAAGTTGACGGGTATGTATTCTCACCATCTCTGTTTCTTTTTTCTTTTTTCTTTTCTTTTTTTCAATTGCTCCATTATTTATCTTCTCTTCCGTTATTATTATTATTATTATTATTATTATTATTATTATTATTTATTTAATTATTCAGAAATGAATTATCTTTTCTTTTTTCAGGGTACTTATAGATGCATACAGGTTAGGCAATCGCCGGGCTTTTAATGTAGGTGCGACTATTGATTAAATTCTCCAAGTAATTGTATGTGTATGACATAAAATGATCATGTTTTGAAGGAAATATCTGTGATTGTATATGTTTTAGAGTTTATATTGTTGTTTTTGTTAATTTTTTCATGTGCCACCAGCATTTCAAAAGCTTGGACTTGACTGTGCTAATTGGACTCAGCCTATCTATCAAGACCTTGTAAGGTGTGTGTGTGTTTTTTGTTCTTTCTTTCCAAGCGTTATATTGCTGCTCATATTTCTTACAAAATTGCTTTTTAATTTTTTTGATTGAGTTGGTTTTAATCAAATGCATAGTTTCTTATCATCTGGGATTTGTTTAAGCTATCGTTTTCACTGCTTCTCAGAAAGAGCGATGGTGATGAGGAGAGGATGCTGGTTTTGTTTTTTAACCGGGTCAGTCCCTCTCTAATTTTGGAAAGTAATCAATAAATTATGCCTTCTTTGTGATTTTTTTACATATTATACTTTTTGGCCTCCTTGCAGATTGGCTGGCCTACTTCATTGCCCACAAGTGAGAAAGGCGCGTTCATAAAAGGTGTACTGCGAGAAAAGGTATCTTTTTGGAATAAACGGTAACATCATACCGAGGTTCATTTTTCTTGGTTGGATGAGAAACTCAGTTCATGTTGTACTACAAATCTGGTGATCAAATAATGGTTCAAGGGTACACGTTACCAATTTGATTTTATAGTTATATGTGACTGAGGAAAGGAGAAGTGGAAGAACTATGAATGAAATTTAATTATTCAATACTCAAAGCTATGCAACTTTTCATTCCTTTTTTCAAATAAAGATGCCTGGAAACCGTTGCAAGTTTCTAACATTTTACAAATTGTTGGCA